CCGGTGTACGTCTCTTTAACCGGTCTCCGGTGTGTCCGTTCCGTACGTGTGCCGTATGATCGGGGCAGTCGGCGCACCCCAAAGCCCGAATCATCATTTGTCCGTTCCTTTGACTCGTCTTTTTTGTCCTGTTCCTTTCACCGGCCTCCGTTTTGACTGTCCGTTTCGCTGATCTCTGTTTTGTCGGTCCCGATGACCGGTGTCTCCGTTGTGCCCATCTCTTTGACCCGTCTGCGCTGCGCCAGTCCCTCTGACCGTCCCTCTGACCGTCCGTCCGAACCCGGCAGGTGGTCGTGTCCACGAACATCGCCGAGACGTCGCTGACCATCGACGGCGTCGTGTTCGTGATCGACCCGGGCTTCTCCAAGCAGAAGGTGTACAACCCCCGCATCCGCGTCGAGTCGCTGCTGGTGTCGCCTATCAGCAAGGCGTCGGCTCAGCAGCGGGCTGGTCGCGCCGGACGCACCAAGCCGGGCAAGTGTTTCCGACTGTACACGGAGAAAGCGTTCAAGTCGAGATGCAGGACAAACGTACCCGGAGATCCTGCGCTCCAACCTGGGCACGGTGGTGCTGCAGCTGAAGAAGCTCGGCATTGACGACCTGGTGCACTTTGACTTCATGGACCCGCCGGCGCCCGAGACGCTGATGCGCGCGCTCGAGCTGCTCAACTACCTGGCGGCGCTGGATGACTCGGGCAACCTGACCGATCTGGGTGCCATCATGGCCGAGTTTCCGCTGGACCCCCAACTGGCTAAGATGCTGATCGCCTCCACGGACTACAACTGCAGCAACGAGATTCTCAGCATCACGGCGATGCTGTCAGGTGAGTGGGCGGCGCCGCCAGTTCGCCCGTCGCATGCGTCAGGGAGGGACCGGCCCTCGGTGGGGCACGCTGGCCTGGGATCTGTAGAGGCCTTGGTCACCTGAACGTTCGTTTGCCGACGTATCTCGGAGAGTTTCCATTTGCGACTGAATATCGGCGCCATCCTCGAGACGGTGATGCTGTCCTGCACGTGACGCCGGCGCGCGCGGCGCGCCGGACCCGCCGACCGATGGCCGGGCTGCGGGCCGCCGTGGCGCTGTGCGGAGCCGGCCGAGCCGCCGGGCGCCGCGACCCGGCCGGGCGGCGGCGCCCGGTGCCCGCCCTCCCTCCTGACCCCGTCTCTGTGTGACGTCCCTAGGTCAAACTAACGGGCTGGACGCGGGGGTGCTCCTGCCTCCTGAACTCTAGTCCCACAGTGTTTCGTGCGGCCCAACGACGCGCGGAAGGCTGCGGACGAGTCCAAGATGCGCTTCGCCCACATTGACGGCGATCATCTGACGCTGCTCAACGTCTACCACGCCTTCAAGCAGAGTGAGTGACGCCGCCCCGCGCAGCACGCACTGACAGAAACGCGGCTGAATTGGCGGACGCATGAATGAACACGTTGTTATCGAAGGCAGCCAGTGTCGACTTCCGCGCCGGAGTACACTTGTGCTGCGTGTATCGGCGGTCCCCGCGCGGCAGTGCGGGCGCGGTTCGGGAATGAAAGCGAGCAGGCGAGCCTCCTTCACCCAATGGTCGGTAACGTCGCACACGCACTGCAGTCCTCACAGAGTGGTGCTGTTCGGGGAAGAACAAAACGAAAAGATTTGGGTGAGGCTGTGCGCTGCCAAGGCCGGCGGGTTCTGTACCTCCGATCGTGGCCCCTTCACAGCAGCCGCCGGCGGGACCTGGCCTTAAGTGTAGGGATGTCGTGTGCCGGCATGCGCACCGTGTCGCTACGGCGCGCCTGGTGACCGGCGGTGATTGGTGACCGCCGGTGACCTGTGGCGACCGGAGGGCGGCCGCCGACGCCGGCCGGCCTGGGCGACACTGACGCGCCGCTGGTATCTAACCGGTCTGCTGCAGACATGGAGGACCCGCACTGGTGCCACGACAATTTCGTCAACTATCGTTCCCTGAAGTCGGCCGACAACGTGCGTCAGCAGCTGTCACGCATCATGGACCGCTTCAACATGCCCAGGAGGTCCACCGACTTCACCTCGCGCGAACTACTACATCAACATCCGCAAGGCCCTCGTCTCAGGGTTTTCATGCAGGTGGGTTGGGTGTTTGGTGCTGGCCGGAGAACGGAGCGGCAGCGCGGCTGCCGAGATTTCGATTTGGTGTAAATTCCGATTTCCGTCCTCATGTATCTACTATCCTAGGCATCCTCATACGAGTAGTTACTGCCTAGGCCGTCCAGTGTGTGTCGTTCCGCTCTTTGACCGTGGAAATTATTTGAGCGTCGGAGCTACGTGGCTGCTCCAGGCCGCCTGTGTGTGGGGATAATCACAAGCCCCGTGGGGGAAATCGTCACGCAGGTGCCCCCGATCAGTGGGGCGGAGCGCTCGGTACTCTGTGGATCTGTCCCGGGGACGGCTGTGGCGGGACGGTCGGGACGCGCCGTGTCACGTGACCGCCGCCGTCTCCAGGTGGCGCATCTGGAGCGGACCGGACACTACCTGACCTGCAAGGACAACCAGGTGGTGCAGCTCCATCCGTCCACCTGCCTCGACCACAAGCCCGAGTGGGTCCTCTACAACGAGTTCGTGCTCACCACCAAAAACTACATTCGCACCGTGACCGACATCAAAGGTAGGCGTTTGCGGCTTTCATCGGTTTGAGACCTGGTGAATGAGACGCCCGAAGTCTTTTCGTAAAGTCTCGTAGTAAAGCCCGAATTATGGCCTAAAGGACCTTGGTCTGGCCTGGTCGGCACGGACGTGCCAGGCAAGGTCTGGACGAGTCAGACCTCGATCAGACCGTATTGCGAGCCCCCGTTGCATGCTCGGTGTCTGTCCTGCGTCCCCGGGCGCCCCACGGTGCGGGGCCTGACGTCGGCCAGCCACTGGAGACGGCGAGGTTTGGGTCTCAAGCCTCCCCGTAACCCAGTCCCGCCCTGAGGCCTCGCGAGACCCCACGAGTTGCCCTGTCCCGAACGTCGTGTTCGGCACCGCGACTCCCCGTGTGCCCGGGCCGTGGTTTCGTGTTCTGCGCTCCGCGCCCTTACGCGTCGTCTGTCCGTTTTCAGCGGAATGGCTGGTGAAAATCGCGCCGCAGTACTACGAGATGAGCAACTTCCCGCAATGCGAGGCCAAACGCCAGTTGGAGCTGCTCATAGCGAAGCTGGAGTCGAAGCAGTTCCGCGACGGCTTCTAGGTGTTTGCGGCTGCTAGCCAGCAGAGCGGCGCGGGCGGCGATCGCCGCGGACACCGCTGCCTCCGGCGGGCTCCTCTGCCCGTGCTCTCCTGAGGTGGCTACTTCCGCGTTCAGAACGGTGTGCCGAGAGGCTCCGCTAGATTAGCTGATCCGAAAATGCGGGCCGCACCTGTCTAGTTCTGTCTCGATCGGAATGTCCAGCAGTCGTGCGGATAGGTTTCTGGATTCATCGCCGCGGTCTCGACTATGTTCGCGTGGTGCTGACCGGTTTCATTTGCTAGCCACTGTGCTTACATACACCCATAGTTGGAGCGGCGCCTTGACCAGTTGGCTGTTCCACCCGGTCGCGCCGCGACTCCGTACCTCGATGGCGCACCGGCCGTGAGTCGGTGCGGACGTGCTGCACTCGGCATGGCGTCACGGCGTGCGTCCCCGTCCGCGAGCCGGTGTACGGGAGCACTGTCGGCCAGCACCCCTGCTCTGTCGCCTGGATCTTGTGGGCTGGCTGGCGTTATTTTAATCAGTTCATTCACGCGCATTGGTGCGGCGCCGCGGCAACCGAGGGGTCTGTGGGCTTCATTCTCATTCGTTCCGGCGTCAGCAGTCCTGCTTCAGCGGTGACCGCTCGGGACGCGCGCTGTGCGCGAGAGCGGCAATCTCGCACGGGACTGTGTTGGAGGCGGCAGGAAGGTCGAGTCGCGAGTCAACGCCCGCCCTCCCCGCGCGCGCGGTGCGTTTGATACGGTGTGTTGCTGGACGCTGTTGTATGGAACAGCTGCGAGTCGGGAGGGATTGGGTGGTCGACTCGGCGAATATATCATCCGTGATCGGACAAAGGCCTTCGGTGTTTCAGCGCCTCCACGTTGGGCCATGCCTGGTGGGTGCGGTCTGGCGGTCACCGCGCGTTGCTACCGTTATATGCTGCGTATTGCTCACTACTTCGACGAAAGGATAAGTGCGGATCGCCGTCGCTATAAACCGAGCTCTCTGGGCGTGCAGTTCCAGGCGCAGCGTGCGGAGGGAACGCGTGCGTGGGACACAGCTCAGAACCTCCAAATCTGTTGGCTGTAAATGACATGGCTAGCCTTCACTCATGTGCTGGGCTATGTTAAATTATAGCTGGGGTTTGACCACTCGATGCTGGAGCAGCGCAGGCTTTTGACAGGGGAGAGGGTCCTGTTTCTGGTCCTCGTTCACGCAGCGTCCTGTTGCTAGCTTGTGTTAGTCACAGTGATTCTGCGACGTTCCAGGCCGGACATGACCCATAGGCCGGTAAGTCTAAAGTGGGGCAGAGACTTACGCGCCCATGCTGGCCATCGAGATGCTCAGTGATGGCGCTATTGCGCGCTTGAGCCGAATCCCTACTTCGCAAATTGTGGGCTTGCCTTTCTGCACTGGCTCTGTTGGATGTGCTGGGGTGGATAGCGCACATCGTTGCGGCGATATGTCGTACATTGTTACCGTGATATGCTACACATTGTTCCTTACTTCAACAATAGGATAAGTGCGGAGCGCGTAATGTTAATCGTCCCATCAACCGGCTGTGCCAATGGTATGAAGCTGAGAAGCCACAGAAGCCGTCACGTGTATATTGCAAATTGGTGGTGCTCGGCGACGCTGCGCAGAACGCGGCATAAGACGCGGGTAGGAAATCGGGATCAGACCTCACATGAGATTAGTGACGTTGAGGTATACTGCGGAAGCTATGAAATTATCCACGGATACTGCAAAAACAGTTCAAAGCATAGCAGACAAGCAGACAAGACATAGCAGACAAGAGGCGTAAATCGGCACGTCTCCGCGTTCCGTATGTCTGCGCCGTGAACAGCAGCCGGCTGTTCTGCATCCAGTGGTCTGTGATCGGGTGTTCCGTGTCGTTCCGGCCAGCCGCCAACCAGTCCCGAAGCTGGAGAAGGTAGAGCATGCGGCAAGTGGCTGTAGGGTGGCGCAACAGGCCTGGGACCAGCAGAACAGCCGAGCTGCTCGCCAAGTCCTTTTGAAAATGTTACGCCATTGAGTGCTGACAAAACAGCACCAGGCTGTTCATCAAGCATGACCGTTGAGAGAAATTAAGCGTGCAGCATCACTGGAAGATTAGCACGACGAAGTGAAAGAAAACAGGCACCAGAGGCGATTCCGTGACGTGTCTGGAGCCTCCGCCGTGTAAAAACAGACTCGTGTCTACTTTTCCGTACAGTATTATTGTCATCAGGTCGTGGGGTCAAAGATCCTTCAAATGCGTTTGTATATTCATCAAACACTAAATGCGAACAAGCACTCGCAGTCATATGTTCGTTCGATATATATAAATGCAGGTGTGTGGGTGTGTACCGACGGTACAATCTTGTGGATGGTGGCGCCGGCGCTCCTCTTTGAGTTTGGAAGTCACAAGTTTCGCCAAGCCGTACAAATAGTTCCAGCGCATCTCCCTGTCCAAAAGCGTGACCATACATCTGTGCGAGGGAACTACATCTGTCGGTGGTGCATGCTGTTTTCGGCCTGGCAGACGCCGGCTCAGTGAACAGCACTGAACGCTAGCGCCGCGTAGCCTCGTCTTCGTGAGATCGGTCGTTCGGTCGCCTTGCCTGCCTCGCGCGGCGAACCGCAGCCACCGCCGGCAGTGTCCCGAGGCGCAGCTCAGGCCCGCCTGGTGCGGCGGCCGCGGCACCGCTGGCCGCTCACCGGGCGCCGCTAGCGTCGCCTGCCGGCCGCAGCAGCGACAAGATCGAGCTGCGCGTGTTGGAGCGCGTGCGCTTGTAGCGTATGCCGTCGCCGGTGCGGACGCAGTCGTGGTAGGCCTGGATCAAACCGAGCAGCTCACCGAAGGCGTCGCGGTCGTGCTCCAGAGCGCTCATCAGCTGGCTCATGGAGAGTCCCTCTGCCAAAGGTTACAGAGGGTGAGACCCTGGGCCAGGGGGCACAGGCTAGGTGGTGAGGCGCACAGAGCTGTTAGAGGTCACAGGCTGCAGGGTCATATGCCTCCTCCAGAGACGCACGCTGACACCTGGAAAGCTGTGTGGAAGACATCACCAGTTATAAGATGCGGCACCGGTTGGTATCAGCTTGCTTCCCCTGGTGCTTTACATTATCCGAGCCACGGATTGCGTGCTTGGATTTTTAAGGCGGCTTCTGGTCGTTCAGTATTTTTTGCATGTTTTGACAATGTTGTGATATATTGAAGGTGGCAGGTATCATGAATTGGTTTGGACGTCGCCAAGAGGAGGGCCAAGCCCTCCCCCCCCCCCACGAGTCGAATTTGGTTGCAATTTGCAGGATTTTGAGGACAATTTACATTATCTCCCCCTCTTTGAATGCGATATTGACTAAGTACACGTGGATGGGCGCTGTGAAGACAAAGCCACGTTTAAAAATCCTGCCCCGGTCGCCGAGTTGAGGTCAAGACACCGACCGCGTCAGGTTCTGGCCATGCGATACAGCTCTAAATGGTGTCCACAGCCCCCTGTAGTAATGACACGGAATCAATAGACGGGCCATCGAGAAATCCTCCTGGCTTGGAACTCAGGTCAAGCCGTGCTTTTTCATCGTGATACATGTGAAAATGGCCGAGCCATGCCAGCGCAGATCGAGTGACGGGATGTTGGGTGATAATGTCGATAGGTAAGTTATGATATTCAAAGTCTGGGAAATAATTTAATAACCATGCAACTTTCGATAATTTATGCAGGATGATAACAGTTTGCTGCTTTATAAGCAGCCTGCAGAAGAACAACTTTGTATCTCAAGGTGACGTGACTTGAGGTCATTGATCTCAACTTACATTGTTGAAAATGCCCTCCAAGCGGGGGGTACTCCTACATTTGTAATTTATCTCCATAACACAAGAGGCAGGGAGCAGCAATCAGCTATCGTCAGGATAAAAACCCTGAGCAATAACATGGATTTCGTGCTAGTACAGTTTCGAGCTTGCAAAGGTTCTGTGAACAAGAATAGGTACTTTCAGTTGGACGCTGATCGGCTGCACTGCAAGGGATACTGATACATTAAACACATGAGAACGCTAGTCTCTGAGCAGTCATAGGTCAGTGGCCTGAAAAAAAAAACATTAAAAAAACTGCAACGCAACACGCAAAAAGGCATTGCAAAATGTGCTGAAAGCCTTGCGCATCTACCATTGTTCGCTATCGTATCACCATCGAAACGCCGGGAGGCTTGGTCAGCGCCGAGCTGAACGCGAATGGAGAGGCGCCGCCCCGCCCGACCGTGTCACTCACGGAACTGCTGAGCTGCGTTGAGCAGCGTCACGAGCGGGTTCTGGCCGCAGCCGTCCGAGCTCTCGCTGCCCTTCACGAGGAACGTGCGGCCCGAGACGACCGACAGCAGCAGAGCCAGCATCATCGGCACCGTCCTCAGCTGTGACCGCGTCTGAGAACATAGCCCCAGTAACGACGGTGGGTTACAAAGCAAGTATCACTGTCGCTGTAAAGACGAGCTGTTCAATCTGTTCATGTAAATATCTGTTCCGACACAGCCAGCTTCAGATGTATGTATATAACTATTTTGATGATGAATATTGAAGCGCTCTCCGGTAGGGAAACCTTTTGGGTCGCGTCGGCGGCCGAGGGAGCCCAGAGATAGAAGATCAAGACTTCGTCCGATCTTGCCATCGCTGCGCAGTTGCAGTGATCCACCAGCCCATCTACACATCTGTGATTTGTCCTTCCGCTCAGACAGCGGCAGGGCCGCACTGGCTTTAGCGTGGGAAAGAATGAGTAAGTTCCCAGCCACAGCCTGAAGAAATCCACAGATTCGGCCACTTGCACCCTCAGTGAGTGAGCCGGCAGGCAGCGTGCGTCCGCCACGGTCAACGTGGCGCGGCGGTGAGGCTCCGGCCTTCCAAACCCCGGGGCGAACCCTCTCCGACCGGACCGGTGGGGCCTACAGCATCTGTCACCATCCCACGCATAAGGGCGGGAGGTGATGCGCGGCTACCACCGCCGGCTGGAGCCGGCGTGACCTCTCCGTAGCGGCTGCCGTCTCTCCGCGACCTTGTGTGGCGGCCCTGTTCGGCGGCGGTGCGGCGGGCGGCGGTTGGGCAGTTGTTTGATATGTGAAAACGAGGACACAAGAGAAGTGTGGGCGTGTTTCGAATATCTCTGCGTGAGTTTGTGTTTGATCTATGTTTTACAGTGTTAAGTGAGCGAGGGTATAGTAAACTAACCAAATAAAAATACATCGCTGTTTTTCGCGCCCGCCGTCCCCTAGGTCCGCCGCAATGGTCCATGCCCGAAGAGCTCGAGCGCAGGGGGCAGGGAAGTCCCCTAGATCCGTCACAGCGGACCACGTCCGAAGAGCCCGAGCGCAGGGGCAGGGAAGTCCCCTAGATCCGTCACAGCGGACCGCGTCCGAATAGCTCGAGCGCAGGGGGCAGGGAAGTCCCCTAGATCCGCCACAGCGGATCACGTCCGAGGAGCTCAAGCGCAGGGGCAGGGAAGTCCCCTAGATCCGTCACAGCGGACCACGTCCGAATAGCTCAAGCGCAGGGGCAGGGAAGTCCCCTAGATCCGTCACAGCGGACCACGTCCGAAGAGCTCAAGCGCAGGGGCAGGGAAGTCCCCTAGGTCCGCCACAGCGGATCACGTCCGAAGAGCTCAAGCGCAGGGGCAGGGAAGTCCCCTAGATCCGTCACAGCGGACCACGTCCGAGGAGCTCAAGCGCAGGGGCAGGGAAGTCCCCTAGATCCGCCACAGCGGATCACGTCCGAGGAGCTCAAGCGCAGGGGCAGGGAAGTCCCCTAGATCCGTCACAGCGGACCACGTCCGAATAGCTCAAGCGCAGGGGCAGGGAATTCCCCCAGATCCGTCACAGCGGACCACGTCCGAAGAGCTCAAGCGCAGGGGCAGGGAAGTCCCCTAGGTTCGCCACAGCGGATCACGTCCGAAGAGCTCGAGCGCAGGGGGCAGGGAAGTCCCCTAGATCCGTCACAGCGGACCACGTCCGAAGAGCCCGAGCGCAGGGGGCAGGGAAGTCCCTTAGGTCCGCCACGCGGACCACGTCCGAATAGCTCAAGCGCAGGGGGCAGGGAAGTCCCCTAGATCCGTCACAGCGGACCACGTCCGAAGAGCCCGAGCGCAGGGGCAGGGAAGTCCCCTAGATCCGTCACAGCGGACCACGTCCGAGGAGCTCGAGCGCAGGGAGCAGGGAAGTCCCCCAGATCCGTCACAGCGGACCACGTCCGAAGAGCCCGAGCGCAGGGGCAGGGAAGTCCCCTAGATCCGTCACAGCGGACCACGTCCGAAGAGCCCGAGCGCAGGGGCAGGGAAGTCCCTTAGGTCCGTCACAGCGGATCAAGTCCGAATAGCTCGAGCGCAGGGGGCAGGGAAGTCCCCTAGATCCGTCACAGCGGACCACGTCCGAGGAGCTCAAGCGCAGGGGCAGGGAGATCCTCTAGGTCAGCCACAGCGGATCACGTCCGAGGAGCTCAAGCGCAGGGGCAGGGAAGTCCCCTAGATCCGTCACAGCGGACCACGTCCGAGGAGCTCAAGCGCATGGGCAGGGAAGTCCCCTAGGTCCGCCACAGCGGATCACGTCTGAAGGGCTCGAGCGCAGGGACAGGGAAGTCCCCTATGTCCGCCACAGCGGATCACGTCCGAAGAGCTCGAGCGCAGGAGCAGGGAAGTCCCCTAGGTCCGCCACAGCGGATCACGTCCGAAGAGCTCAAGCGCAGGGGGCAGGGAAAAGGCGAATGATGCGTTTCCAGCACTTCGAAACCCGGACTTCTGGGCGGTCAAAAACGGCCTCATTTGTCTGTCTTACACGCGATCCTCCGCATGATCTGTCTTACCCGGAGACTGCAGGAACATTTTCTGATCAGCGTTTGTTCGCACAACTCGATTGTGCAAGCAAGATTTTACATTCCTCTAGGCTGTGAAGCTTTTGCCTGGGGTACGAGAGTAGGGAAATGGAGGTCACTTGTCCTTCCACCTTTTCACGGAAAGTTTGCCATAACCCTATCATAATGAATCAAAGAAGTCCACGTTAATACCAGATTTCACCTTCCACTCTGGGACATTCCAACTCCAAGTGGGGAGAGGATGTGCAGCTGTTGAGATTATAGCAGAGGATCAACATTCATAAAATGAGAACTCGTAAGCCATGGCGGGCATTTCCACTGGCTCAGAGGTCCCTGGTGGTCGCGGATCGCGTGCCTCGTCTCAGGTGGTCTCAGAAGATTGTTACCCCTGACCGCTCGTGCCGCATCGGGAATGACTACCCCTCGGTTGGCTGTAGTTGACTAAATTGATGTGTTCTGGTCATCGGCCATTTCAGAGGAGTCCCTGAAGACAAGCCGAGGTCTGCACTCAGCTGTTCCAGACGCCGATCATCTTCACCGCCTCTCTGCTCTCCCGCCGGCCTCTTCAGAGTGTTAACACACACCTGACCGGTGTCAGTCACCCACGTGCGGTGGTGCCCAGCATCACCTCGCTTTACAATCCATCAGAAAGGACACTTACTTGTTACCGTGGCCGAAAAAAGCACCGATAGTATTTGATGGCCCAAAATGGCCAGGACAGGACAGCAGAAGCAGCTATGCGTTCTGATAAAAACTGGATCAGATGGCATATTTGTTAATGTGACATGCTCATGCGTTCTATTGCCTGGTCGGGTGGCAGTAGGAATCGTGCCCCTCGGAACAGCGGAAGCCATGCCCCAATGCTTGTAAAAGTTGAACAGGAACCACATGATGACGCACGTAAAGAGCTGTTTTAAAAACGATGGTCTTCTGCATTGCCACTTCACGAAGCTGATGTCAAAAGCAACGCCACCTCATGGGACGTTCATACTACCATAGCCGCCTGCCATTCGCACCCCATCCATGGGATGCAGCCGCGGGTCTGAACGGAGCCGCGGCGCTCGCTGTGCGGCAGCCGGCGTCTCCGGTCAGCCGGGCCGGCCACTCACCATGACACCTGGCAGCGCGTTGGACCGGCGGAGTCGTCTGGACAGGTCGTGCGTCTCCCGGGGCAGTCCGCGGACAACTGTGTGTCGCGCCGAGCCCCCAGGGCATTTATCTCGAAGACGGCGCGGTTACCGCCACCGCTCGACGCTCAAGTGCTCCATAATCACGGCGGAAGACCGGCGCAGTGCCGGCAGAAATAGCCGGCCAGGACAAACGAGCCAAGCCCAGCGGGCGGCCGCGGCAGGTGCACACCCACACCACATACAATATTCAGCACCGCCGTTCCAAAAACCGCCGGAGTGGCGTCGCCCGTCTACGATTGGCGCCAATTCCAGCGCCGCGGCGTCCGATTGGCGGCGATCGTGGCGCTCTGGCGCAATCAGGGCGCGCCGAGACGCGGCGGTGATGAGCGCGGGAGGGCGAGAAGCGGCGGCCGGCCGCCCCCGAACGTCGGGCGCGGACGGCGCAGAGGCGCGAAGTGAAGTCAGATGACAGCCAGCAAGACGGGACAGTGACGTCAGATGACAGACAGCCGGACAGGACAACGACGTCAGATGACAGACAGCCGGACGGGGCGGTGATGTCAGATGACAGACAGCCGGACTGGACGATGCGATGTTTATATTGTTCGGAGCAAACAGGACATACCCAAGAGGTCAGACAGATGCTTGCACTGAAATTGTTAAAAAAACGAGGTATTTATCCGATGCTTTTGTCTTCGTCAAGCTCAAGAAATGTAGACATCAAGAAATATGACAGATATCGTTCCTGTATGTAGGCAGCTATCAACTGAATGGCAAACACTCGTTTTTAGCCAGAACACTGATTTGGCACTGATACGGTTACGCTCATAAAAGGAAAGTACGGCAACGAGACACAAATGCAATCAAATGTGCTTCTGGATTAATTGCATTTTCAATGCTTGGCATACGCAAAACGCATATGATGCAAACTGGCTTAATTCTAGCGTAGCAAAGGTAGAGAACTGGGTTATTATGCCGAAAGCATTCAACCTTAAAAACCAGCAGGTAGTCGTTAAACGAAGATATCAAGCAACAACTGGAATACATTATGAAAATGTTCGGCGTTCTCAGCAGCGCTCATAATCACAAGCAAACAAAGTCAATCAAGAATCACGAACCCAAACCTGAGGCGCTTGAAAGACAAAATGTTCGAAATCGTGGCAAGCTCTGCCAATAAAATGATGCAAACTAATGAAGCATTTCAGTTCCTATATCTCTATCTCGATACACGATAACATGCCACGGCTGCTGGAAATACAGACGGCTCACTCGAAAGGTTTCGATTTCGCCGTTTTATTGCAGATAACGCAACCATCTCCGGGCAATTATGGCAGGTGCTTGTGGACGACAATGAGGGACATCAAGAGCAGAGAGGTAGTTAGATCGTTAAATGCTAATCGTTATTTGGCCAGACACATTTCAGGTGCTATCCGTGTAATAAGCGAGGGTGTCTTCCGTTCTTAAATAAGAACGGAAGGCATGGACCTAGGGAGGGGATACGGGGGTCAACGCTACACTGCGCCGGTCTGCTACACTCCGATCATTATTATTTTATAGGACCCAGACCAGAAACAAACAATGAGCGTGCACCAGAGTCCTGATCTCTGCAGTACAAGCTGTTTTCCACCATATGAAGCTCTCTCACGGTGATCTGAGCATACGAACGAATAGACGCTGCACGGTATGAGCATGATCGTGCCGAACTGAGCATAGTGACACACACACACACACACACCACACACACACACACACACACACACACACACACACACACACACACACACACACACACACACACACACACACACCACACACACATACGTACGCACGCACGCACGCACGCACGCACGCACGCGCGCACGCACGCAACACACACACAACACCACACACACACACGCACACACACACACACACACACGCACACACACACACACACACGCACACACACACACACACGCACACACACACACACACACACACACACACACACACACACACACACACACACACACACACACACACACACACACACACACACACACACACACACGCACACACACACACACACACACGCACGAACGCACGCACGCACGCACGCACGCACGCACGCACGCACGCACGCACGCACGCACGCACGCGCACACACACACACACACACACAGTATTATAGTGAGGTGGTCAGAGGCGCCAAGTGACGTCCCTTAGCATCACTTTTCAACACACTATCCAACACCATCTAACCTCCTCCCAGGTAAGGTATGCCAAAGCTCGGAAGGTCACAGGTGATTGCGTCTACGATTAATCACCTGGTTTTCCGAAGGAAATCGAAATAAAAATCACGCGTTGCCTCCTGTTTAGGAATTTTGAGCAGGTGTTTACAGGTCGGTTATGGCATCGGAGTAGAGTACATGAAGCTCCCCTTCCCTATGTCACCTGGCTCTGCCCCTGCCAGGTTTTGCGGACATGTTTTAGCGCGGTAGTTGGCGTCCGAGAAAGACTAGCTATGCAAGAATGCAGCAGCCTTGCTTCCTTTTAGCAGCAAGGCTGGATAGCGTGAGTTCTCACATCGTGCTGACATGAATGTGCAAGCCTACTTTCTACCCAACCTCCGGGACATGGGTCTCAAGCGTATTAAAACATATAAGCAGCATTGAAACCATGCGCGTAGGAACGCTTAAAAAAGTGGAGGGGGGGGGGCAGTTCAGGATATTCTTCAGGAACTTTTACGTGGAGAGCAAGCCCGGTGACCGGGGGAGAGATAAAGATGGAGATTCCTGTCCGCTCACAATTCACATGACACATAATGGAAATAATTCAATGTCATGGCTGTGATGATAGACATACATATAAAGCTGTCTCCCACTCATGCATATTTTTGCCCTTTTCGAATCATCTATGCCATTCGGCAGATGATGTTATCCAGTTCCTCCAGAGTATTCGTCCATTTATGCATTGCTTTCCCTGAGGAAGCGAAATTCCACGCGCGGGTAGTCATTTTGGGTTATTGGGGAGGCATTTACCTCCACAGGGTGAATGCCGAAAAACAACATGGACACGGGCTGGCTAGAATTTGAACACGAATCAATGACCCATAGCGCACCATAGTTTTCAATCGCTTAGATTTCGGCGGTAGCTTTTCAAGAGACAAGATTTGTCGCAGCCTGTTTGGTGGAAACAGAGTCGGATGCTTCATATACTAACCGCCAAAAGCAATGTGACAAAGATCTTACAACTGGAGTTTCTCCTGTAAAAACCGAGTCGCAGAATGAAGGCCCTTCTGTCATATATTCCTTATCTGAGCCCTGCTCCCGTCCGCCGTCGGTGGCCACTGATCTGGCCTGGCTGTACCCCGCATGACTGACTGCGAACTGATCGCATGACTGCTTTGCTGCATGTTTATGGATCGGCATTGCCAATTTTTGGTGTGTAACGCATACATTGGACACCTACAACAGTACCTGTTCCCAATATTCTCCTCTTACACTACACCACCCTGGAAAATGAGCCTTCGGGAAGCTGCCTGCCTTAGACATGAATTGGTCCAACGGACATTCACTTACCCCTCATTCAACGTAGTCGACTTGATCTGCTCTTGTGTGTTGGCAATGGCGCAGCCAGAGCCTTTCTAGCGGGGTTACGGGGTTGACAAAAGTTTCCCTGATGATCCCCCCTTAAAGTTAACTTAACTCACATAATGTGACAGCTTACTTGCTAACAAGGACGCAGTTTTCTTCGTTTTATTGTTATTTTTGCCCTGCAACCAAACAGAAACAGAAACCAGAAGCTACCGCGAAATCAAATCCATTCGCATGTTTAAGTCAATAAACTGTAGAAGCCAGGCGTTCAACTGCATGGAATAAATTACCGGCGCTCTTCGTTTTACAGTGGTTCAGTGGGCTCTTTCAAAGCAGATAAAACAAAAGCTTTGTCAGAATCTTTTCTTTGGGCTCAACAGACGTGTTAAGGACCCGCCAAGGCAGACTGCAGATCGGAACGGGTCTACAACGTGAGCCATTTTTGTCTAGAAATGTTCGACATTAAATCAGAATCGTTTAGTGATGCGACTCGTTTAACGAACTTTTCAACTTGCGCGCCCGCAAATCTTGAACGGAAAACCGACGCCAGGCGTTGCAGTCTCTGCAGGCTGCACAACGTCAGTACAGCGGTTATTACTGAGCCGTGGCCAACAAGTGGAAGAAAAAATGGCGCTTCTGAGGTAAGTACCTTTGAACGCTTTAGGACAAAAGTCTTACATCTAGAAAATACTCCGGCATATATTTCACCTGCACCATTCTTAGATTGATGATAAGAATGGATTAGCCCTCACAGCAACGCGAAGTTGGGTTGGAATCGTGTGGTGCTACTGAAAGAGTAAAGGTAGAATCTTTAGTTTTCGTGTTGCTTTGGCTGTTAATCTGTTCAGAGGACAGCTTAACACGGCGCCCGCCGCCAGGTGTCACTCGCAGTAGCCTACGTCGTTCGGTTTTACGGAAGCTGCAACCCGAGCTATCACTGTCCTTACTCCCAAGGTTGCGGGCGCGCATGTTCAAACATTTTGATGTAATTTGCTTCACTGATGGATTCTGAAAAAGAATGAACGTTCCTAGGCAAGCATGGTATGGCCTTATTCATTTTTGAAATGATTTCGACCCACTGTATTCAACAATGATGAAGTTCCCTGTTTCTCTCCGGGCAAAGCGCAGAACTTTTGAGCAGAACCCTTGAGCAGAACGCTGGAGGCACATTTCTGTTCCCGGTCAAGGGCTGAACAGCCATTCCGTCCCACCGTGGGGAGTCTTCCGGCTGCCACTCTGGCGACACGGGGCAGGAGCCCCTGGTTGATCCGGGGACCCTTAACACACGTTCGGGTTGGGGAAAATTGATCCCCCAAAGGTTTGTGCAGGATGATTTCCAAACGGCGTGGCGTAGCCACGTCAACCTTTGCACAGCTGTAGGAAATTGAATGGCGGATTATCTGATGTAAGACATTAGACGTGTCTTGAAATTTCGCTGACGTATAGTAGGTCAAGGTCA